ATATTGTACAAGTTACTTGCCTTCTTGGAACCTCAGCTTTCTCATCTATGGAATTGATAAGACTATGCCTGCTTTGTAGGGTGTGGAAAGTCAGATGGCGTGTACTAAGTGCCGATGCCAAACCAAGGACATGGTATTCAGGCACCAACCCTTACTATAGAACCGTTTTCATTGCAACTCTGCTTTTTCTTTCCCCTGCACAAATCCTGCTTTCAGCTGTCATTTTTCCCAATTGTCATCATGGTTGTGATATAGCTGAATTAAAGAGAGAAGTATTATTTTAGCATACAAAATTATATTTCTGAATTGCCCACAGAGATGCTCTTAATAGAAAAATTGAGCACTATAAATGGTAACTATGAAATTCTCTCTAAAAACTCAATTTTATTCATGATGCTCTACCAGACTCATACCATTCTTAAATACCCTCTGTCCTGATAAATCCACTCAAGTCTTTGGTTCTCCTACTAGGCTGCCTTCATCTGTTTGTAACTTTTTTTGTCCTGTCTTCCTATTAATTGTCATCCCAATCTGTTCTCTGTTCTATTTGTGATAGCCTGTGTTGGCAGAAAAATTGGCTGAATGATTGAACATAATTTTCTCCTCTCCAGCCCACCCCAGCTGGAGAGAGATCCTTCACAGACGTTCCCAGTGATTTGCTTCCCTGCTCACGACGTCTTATTTCATCTCATCTCTCACCATCCTGCTGCAGCTACCCCTTTTTCTCCCCAGCTCTGCTATTGTATGGGCCGAGAGCTCATCTTCAGTTTTCCAAATGCTGGCTTCTGCTTCTTACCTGAGCTGGTGACATTCTGTCCCCATGTATAATTTATATGCTACTTGTGTTTTTTATCTTCAGTTGGATTCGAGAACAGACTTCTTTATCTACAAAGAATCCTCAGAGTGGTTTTCTTAGTATTTTTCTGAGCTTAAAGATTACAGATTTTTGACGTTTCTTGGAGGTTTTGAGGTCTGTGTCCAAAAAGGAAGCAAATTTCAGATGTAATTTTTAGCTTTTTTTTTTTTAAACAAAGTTCCTATATCTCAGAGTCTTCCATTTCCAAGATGTTGTAGGTTTTTGTTTTTCCAAGGTATTTTTGCATATTATCTCATTGGGTTTCTTGAGTTGGTTCTTATTTTAGAGCCAAGAATACTAAAGTTCATAGGATGTTGTGAGTTTCCCAGGGTCTCTCAGTGTGGTGAGGAGGAGGGCTGCAGGAAGGCCCCATACCTGTACATTCATAGCATATGATTCAGAAGAGGACAAACCTTACTCTTTTCGTCCTAGAATTTGTAAATCAAATATCACAGAAGAACTCTGTGTGACCCTTCCTGTGCCTTCTGTTTGTCCTCTGGATCAGCCACTGTTGATGGAATGTTTCCATCTCTGGCCATTGGTGGAATTGGGACCAACCCTGATCCCACCAGAACTAAACAGGGTGGAGAAGGAGCTTCACCCTGAAGAGGAGTGTTGGGTAGACAAAAGCCAAATGGTCACTGTATCTTTCTGCTATAGGCCAATACCTGTGGACCATTTTTAGAAATGAAGAATTTAGTTATAACTTATTGTTATAAGTGTACAATAGGACTGGTGTTTCCAAGGCAAGAAAGACTGGGCACAGTGGCTCTCACCTGTAATCCCAGCACTTTGGGAGGCTAAGAGGGAGGATCACTTGAGGCCAGGAGTTTGAGACCACATAGTGAGACCTTGTCTCTACAAAAAAGTCAGAAAGTTTGCTGAATGTGATGGCAGTCATTCCAACTACTTGGGATGCTGAGGAGGGAGGATCGCCTGAGCCCAGGGAGTCAAGGCTGCAGTAAGCCATGATTGCACCGCTGCACTCCAGCCTGGGTGACAGAGTGAGACTCCAACTCAAAGGAAGAATTAAAAAAAGAATCTGAGTCCCTTGAAAGCTAATAGCATTTGTGTAGTTTGTCAATGATGGGAGCTTTCCATGAGGAAGAGCTAACCAAGCTATGTTCCAGGCCAGGCCATGTATATTCATTTAGTTACTATTTGCTGAGGGCTTACAATTTGCTAGAGGCTATGTTAGCCAGTGTGAGGGATATGATAATGACTTTGACAAAAATTCAGTCTTCAAGGAGTTTGTAGTCATGTAAAGAATCTAAGATGTGCATAAGTTGCTGTAGTAGGAATGGTGATAGCAATTTTTGCTGAATGCTTGCCATGTACCAGGTATTGTGATAAATATTTCCTATGCAGTAATTCATTTGTTCTTCTGTATAATCCTACAATATATGTGTTCTAATTATTTCCATTTTGGAAATGGTGAATTTAAAGCTCATAGAAGTAATATAACCTGGTAAAGGGCATTTGGTCAGGGATCAAGGGAGCCAAGGTTCAGATCCCAACCCATATGACCTCCTACAGCTGGCCTCTCTGCATGTGTACAGGTTAGCATGTAGTAAGCACAGGTTTCAGGATAGAAAAGATGCTGGAACTCAGAGGAAGGAATACTTGCTTTTGGTTAGGGGATATAGGGGAGGCATTATAGAAGAGGTAGCATTTGAACTGAGACAAAGAATTTGAGGATATCAGGATATGTGAAGATGGAGGGAAGAGACTTGTCAAGGTGAAAGGTGAAAAACATGTGCAGAACAAGGAATGACAAGGAATATATTTTGGTAGAAAATTTGTCTAAATCCAGTTGCTGGGACTGACATGATTCAAAGCTAGGCCATAGGTCCCGTTAGAGTGGATTTATTTCCTGTCTACCTTTCTCTCAGTGTGTCATCCTTTGGAGTCCTAACTGAAGGTTCCAGGATTTGCTGTCCACTCTACATGGGAGGACACTGAATGTTAGTGTTTTTCACATCTAGTCCTTGGAATGAGTTTAAAACTCTGTTCAGATTCTCAGCCTCTTGGTCAACTCTTCTTGATCTACTGGCATCTCCAGGGGAAATTTCATGCCAGGTTGGTGCCTCTGTATTTCATTCTTATGATAAATAGTACCCTGTAGTTCTTTTCTTTTTTTGAGTTGGAGTGTCACTCTTGTCGCCCAGGTTGGAGTGCAGCAGCATGCTCACGGCCACCGCAGCCTCTACCTGCTGGATTTAGGTGATTCTCTTACCTCAGCCTTCCAAGTAACTGGAACTACAGACACATGCCACCACATCCAGCTAGTTTTTGTGATTTACTGTAGAGATGAGGTCTCACCAAGTTACCCAGGCTGGTCTCGAACCTGTAGGCTCAGGCAATCCTCTGACTTCGGCATCCCAAAGTGCTGGAGATGACAGGCTGAGCCACTGTACCTGGCTACCCTGTAGTTCTTATTAGCTCTCTACCACTTGAGTGGATTTTAAGACTACTTTGTCCATGTTTTCTGGGTGTTCTTAGTGGCTGAGTTGGACTGAATTGTCTAGCCTATTGTTATCAGGAGTTGAATATCCTGATCAGTTCTGAAGTTCATTATCAGTTCTGAAGTTCATTTTATACCTATTCAACTTGAGCTGCTTGTGGATATCACATGGGCCTTTGTTGCCAGCACTTGATCCTTAGACAAGGGCCTGTTTGGTACCTCTGTTTTCTTTGGAAGTGTAGAGATGAACTTACCCTTAAATGTGTAATCACAATCTTCTTATGTGGCTTCCATAGACATTACTAATAGAAACAGATCAATTTGTGATTTTTCTTATTTTAGATGTGTGGTATCTGATTCTTACATGTGCAGTTTTGAGCATAAGGTAAATTGAACTTTTCAAGTAGACTATTTTTTTAACCTAGTCAAGATAATTTAGCATTTGAAGATTTGAAGGCACTAAATAGAAAATTATTTTATTCTTCTTAGTTGAATATTGTTTAACATTCTGAAAATCGAATTACTTAAGGGAACATGCCTTAGCAAACAATGTTTAAGAGAAGTTTTTTTCCTTTCTTTTTTTAAAATGATGAACCATTTCTATTATATGTTAATTATAAGTTTTTTCAAAGAGATATTAGGCAGAAGGCCTTGGGTCTAAGTGATTGGGAATTTGGCAATATCTGTTTTGTATCAGTTAAAGGTAAATACTCTTTATTGTATGACAAGAAACTTTACTTTCTTATTAAGAAGTTAATTAGATTGGTTTGTTTGAGATATGCAACCACATAAATTTTCTTTCCCAACAACTGTGTTATTGTGAAAGGGACACTGTGTTTGGAATCAAAGGCACTGAGTGGTGAAATTTAGATCTCCCACCCACCCATCTATTCACAAGTTTACTAAGTGTCCATTTATGTGTGGTACTATGTCTAAGATGAATTGTTGCCACTGTGACCTTGGGCATGTTATACATTGCTCTTCTTTAGAATGGGGGCAGATTTATAAAAAGTACTGTACAGATGTGAACTGACATTTTATCAACCTCACACTCCACTGTTTGCTCTTTCATCTCTGCTGTTTCCATATATCTTAAGCTAAAATTAGTGTTAACTTTCAGTTCTTGCACAGATTGTCACTGGTTGTTTGTTATCTCCTGTTGGATTGGACAAACTGTGTGAGATGCAGAGTGGAGTTAAAGATCAGTCCTGGGTTAGACTGGTTAGTTGATAGGTAATGTTAACAAATAAGAAAAAGACCAGATGACAGTGACCTTGGAGATTTACATAGGGTTGTGTGGCAGAGGGTGGTGACTACTTGAAATTGGATGAGAAGAGAATATTTAGAGAGGGAAAGTGACAAGGTAGAGCCAGCCTGTGAAAGGAGGGAAGATGCTTTCCAGCCTGAAGGAGCAGCCCCTATAGAGATGGGCTTGGCATGGCACAAGCACAAAAGGAAGGCTGGAGGGCTAGTGCCATCAGATGAGGTGGTAAATAACTGTCCTTGTGTAGGACATGTATGCTCATGGAAGATACAATAGGCAGTTACAATTCATATGAGATAGAATAGTAAGGACAGAAACTGGAGTGCTCCTTTGAGTTATACCTTTTGAATAAAACCTCCTGTGTTTAAAAAAATCAAGCTAACGTGTCACTTGCAATTTTCATTCTTATTTTTTAGATGGAATCAGTGTGAGTGGCTTTCCCCTGTCCAGTCCTTTTCGACAGGTCATTCGACCCCGAGTGGAGAGCAAACCTGTGAACCCACCTGAGAGCAGCAAGGCAGGAGACTACAGCCATGTGAAGGTGAGTCAACCGCACAGAAGGCAAGTCAGCTGGTGCCTTTCGTGGTTTCTGTAAAGACTTTTCTGAAGCACAGTTCTGAGTATTTTTCAGAAAAGCAAGGGAGTGTGTATTTGAAAGCTGGTTTCTCAGTATTTGTCGTTCTTGTACAATGTTTTGGAAAGCAGTTACAGTGAAGCTTGAGTGCATAGTGTTTGGTGTTGTAAACTCTTATTTCATTGAGATGTGGAGATTTTGTGGGCTGAACCAAGTAATGTGGTGAATAAAGTAGTCTTTCCTGTCTTTTCCCTATTCATCTAAAAAGTTTATTTCTGTTGTAGCTATTCTCAGTTTGAATATTTGTTTTGTAAGTTTTTCTTATTCCCTTGGCAAATCTTTCTAGCTGTTGGTTTAGAGGGACCAAGGAAGACAAAATGAATATGCCAGCACTAAGTGAGTATCAGGGCAAAGTTGAGTTGCCCTGAGGATTGTGGGTCAGCATGAGCAGAAACTGCTGGCTCCAAGGAGAGGTCTGCTCCAGAGCTCCAGGATTTTGAGTCATTAGCACATAGAGAACTCTGGGTGTTTGACCCTGCTCAAGGATAGTGTGTTTAGTGTGTATAGCAGGAGGATTGAGGATTGAGGTTATTAAGGGCTAAGACTAGGCTGCAGGCAGCAAAGTCACTTCTAGGCAGATATGTTCAGGACCAGGCTTTGGGATGCTGTTTACTATCCTCATGCCAAAATTGAATATGGGCATTGACCAGTTAGGACCATCAGAATAGCTTGGCTAAGATGCTTGTGAGTCACTGGTATAATGAATTTTGAGGAATTGGGACTGCTCTGACTAAACCAAGATGAGGGTTGGAGGAATGTAAGATGCTGTCTGGTGAGGTCACAGCAAGAGAGAGTAAGCCAGTTTTGGTGGATGAAGTTCTTGTCAGTGGATCAAAGTGGTAAGGAGCTAGATTTGGGCAAGAGTTTTCTCCCCTACAGGGCTCTACAGTAAGGATAGAGTCCGAGGGTATGGTTGGGAGCATCCCATCACTGCGAGCTTGTTTGCACAGCAGCTTGATTGCTGTGTGGTAGGCTCTTGTGCTAGCCAAGGAGACAGACTATGGGGAGAAGATTCCCACCAGAGGGAGCAAAGGCACTGAATGTGAACTAGTATAACACATGCACAGAGCTATGAAGTCGCGGATGCTGTTGGGGGTGGATTTGTGGCAGGGAAGGCTGGGGAGGAAGCTAGCGAGGCAAATTTCTTAGAGGACCCCTCAGGTTTCACATTGCCTCCAGCCTTCCTACAACCTCATCCTTATATTCTTTGTGTTTAGGCCTCTTGACATCATTAAACTTGTCCTACAGCTCAGCTCATGGGGGTTACATGGCCTTGGTGCTGTCACAGATGGCATGCTTCTTTCTTTTCTGTGTCCATGCACACAGTTTCCTCTTAGTGCTGTCAGAAAAGCTGCAGTGGCATGATGGCCTACTGGAGACAGTAGTAACTTTGGAGAGAGGAACATCGGTAGGGGAAGGTTTATATCACTCAAGGTCTCTTTGCTACTTGCTGCTTTTCACTCAGCTGCTGTGTGTCTTGGTGTGATAGAACAATCATCAATAACTGCTTTGGTTGTAAGACTGTTGATGGTGGACCAAGGATAACCAGATAGAGAAGAGATGCCCCTAGGGAAGTTAGAAGAGGGTGTCTCCCTCAGAAAATCAGAAGAAAGCATCTCCCTCAGGAAATTAGAAGAGGGCATCTCTTCAGGAAGTCAGAAGAGGATATCACCATCAGGAAATTAGAAGAGGGCATCTCCTTAGGAAGTCAGAAGAAGGCATCTTCATCTGAAAGTCAAAGAGGGAAATCTCCTCAGGAAGTCAGAAAAGGCATCTCCCTCAGGAAGTCAGAGGAGGACATCTCGGGAAGTCAGAAGAGCGCGTCTCCTTCAGGAAGTCAGAAGAGGGAATCTCCCTCAGGAAGTCTGAAGAGGGCATCTTCTCGGGAAGTCAGAGTGAGGCATCTCCTCAGGAAGTCAGAAGAAGGCATTGCCCTCAGGAAGTCAGAAGAGGGCATCTCCCTCAGGAAGTCAGAAGAGGACATCGCCCTCAGGAAGTCAGAAGAGGGCATCTCCTCAGGAAGTCAGAAGAGAACATTTCCTTCAGGAATTCAGAAGTGGATATCTCCTTTAGGAAGTCTGAAGAGGGCATCTCCTCAGGAAATCAGAGTGGGGCATCTCCCTTAGGAAGTCAGAAGAGGGCATCGCCTTCGGGAAGTCAAAAGAGAGATTCTCCCTCAGGAAGTCAGAAGAGGGCATCTCGGGAAATTAGAAGAGAGCATCTCCCTTAGGAATTCAGAAGAGAGGCATCTCCCTCAAGAAGTCAGAAGAAAGCATCTTCCTCAGGGAGTCAGAGGAGGGTATCTCCTCAGGAAGTCAGAAAAGAGCATTTTCCCCATGTATTAGTCATATTTTCCTTTTTCTTTGCATTTCTCAGTTTTGTGAAAGGCTGGGTCTTTAATATAATATGTTGTAGCAGGTGTGGTTTTGAATTCCCTGCTCTTCCCTGGGACTGATGCTGTTATTGTTCTTGTTTGTTTGTCCGTTTATTTGGTGATTTGCTTTGACTTTTATGTTTCCTTCAGTGAGTGAAATCTCTGCTTGTTATTTTCTGCTTAGAATTTTAATTGTTAACTGCCATTCCTAGAGCTTACCCTAGGTCCCATGGAGCTTAGTGGTCAGCCAGTGTCTGATTAGAGGCTGTGCTTAAACACCTTGATTCAGCAAGGCTTTCACCCTTCCCTGGCAGGTCTATGTGTACCTTGGGGAATGGTTTCAAAATCTACCCTGGTTTTCCCTCTCTGAATTCACAAGGCCTCATGTTGAATCAGAGACCAGAGGCTCATGGGATCTTCTCTGACTTCCTGAGGGAGATGCCCTCTTCTCCTAGGTATATGTGAGTGTCCAAGGCACTGGAGATAAGTGAGGTCTTACCAAGGCCTTCTTTTACTCTTTCATTCATGGAATCTTCCTGTTGAATACCTGGCTGGTCTGCCATTTTCTCATTTGCTGCAGTTAGTTCTTTGACTTCAGGCCAACTGCAGCACTAGCCTTCGCTGTTTGTTTGCTCTTGAGATCAACTGTTATTTTTGATAACAACCCTGGACATGAATTTTCTAACCTCTGCTCCAAATAAAGTCAGCTTCTTTCAGCAGAGGTGGAGCTGTGTCTTCCACCTGCCTCTCCTGCCCAGGTAGAAGTTGTGCACCAAGGAGTTGGGGATAGGAGGAGTAATGGAAACAGCCCCTGGCTAAAATGCCGTTTTTATCAAGAGTAAGTTGATTTTCATGAATAAATGCTTCTCAATTTGTTATATGCCCTTGATCAGTTTGAAAGATCTTTAAATGCTTGTTGTTGATGACCTTGTCCATTTTTATCTTTGCTTTTTTGGTAGAGGTTTAGCCAAACATCTCATTAAGCCATTCTGGAAGTCCCACACCTCGGACGCATTTACTTTCTGGTTATTCTTTCAAAGTTGAGAATGAAATGAAAAATGCTTTTTTGGAAAGACATTCCTTTGAGCCCATTAATATCTCGAGTGTTTATTTCCTAAATGTTGGTAGAGTAATAGAGAAGTTTAAGTGTTATAGTAATGCCCTGCAGCTCTGCTGTTTTTTGTTGTGGAAGCAGATGCGATTTTAATATATCAGTGATCAACAAGCTTTTTGTCTGAGCACTTAAACTCCTTATAGACTTTCTTTGTTCCTTTGAATACAATAGCTTATTTAATAGTGTGATTCCTTTTATTGTTTCCTTTCATTGCAGTAGGGATTAGCTTGTACAGGAATACTCATGAAATTTTGGGGACCAGGATGCTTACATTGTAAACTGTTTTGATGCAACTGTGGGATGCTGCATTTCTTAGTATTATGATGTGAATCCAGTTACAGGGTTTTGGAGTCTTCCGTGAGAAAGGGGACTGACTCGTGTCCACTCCCTTTACTCTTTACTCTCAGATCCTGTCAAAGACTATCCACTGCTATCATCACCTTCTCCACCGAGCAGCCCTGTTCCCATTCTCAGACTCCAGTCGCTCCATAGAGTTTATTTTTCAACCACATGCTGCTTTGTGTCTTCCTCCCACCCTTTCTTGTGCTAGTCCAGACGTCTTCCCAGGTAGAATCGATCTCCTTAAGGCCAGAGAGGAAGTGTTTATGTTGCCTCTTCATCCCTTTATCCCTTTTTGCATTGATGCAATGGACCAGACATGGTGGTTGTACCCTATACCTTTGTGCCCCTGTACACCCTGGCCTTGAGCACGTGTCCAGCATGTTAGGAGGTGCATTCATTCACATGGGGTCTCTATGGTAGTAGTGATGACTTTTTATCTAGGCTGGGTTCAGGACCCTTTCTGACCCACCCTCACTGTTTGCTTAATTAAAACTCAATGTATATTGTGCTCCAATTATGGGTCAGTTATGATGCTTGGCTGTGGGGGTCTATTTTTAGGTGCCCTATAATGAAGGACTGCCAGGTAAGTCAGCATCTGAAATGTAGTTAGTACTGTACAGTTACTCAGTGTTGTTTCCTAAGCATCTACAATATGTTGATATATAGTGTTCCAGATGATGAGGTTACAAGGATGCATCAAATAACTCTTGACTTCAAGGAACTCATGGGCGAGTGAACACTGCTAGACAAAAGTGACAAAACAAGGGAAAAAAAACCAATTAGAATACAGGCAATGCTCATTGCTATGGTTGTACAGAATAAGTCAAGGAAGGCCTATCCAAGGAAATAGCAATTGAATAGATGACTGAAGGAAAAAGGAACTAGAGTGATCCAGCAAACCAGGGTGAAAAGGGTATTTCTGAAATTGGGAATAGCATGTGCACAGTATGCTCCCATGTGTCTGGTGTCCTGGAGCACAGGAGTGCGGAGCAGGGCCAACAGGAGGTCAGACTATGAAGGGTTTCAGAGGCATGCTAAGTTCATCAGTTTCTTCCTTCCTTTGTTTCTCACTCCTGC